AAAGTTGGGGTTTTAATTTTCTTAGCTGAAACAAATTTTTGGATTTAAAATCACTTATTTAATACCCATATTAAGCTTATTCATAGCAAAATTTTAAATTCAATAACACATGACCTTGAACAAATACATTCCTGTATACTGAAGCCTTGCAGTGATTATTATGTCTTCCATGCTGTTTTATTTTTTTAATTGTGGTAAGAACACTTAATGTAAGACCTACCCTCTTAACAGAATATTAAGTACCCAATACAGTGATGTTAAAAATATATACACAACATACTACAGACCTTTGGAACTTACTCGTCTTGCATAATCAAAACATAGAGCCATCGAATAAGAACTCCCCATTTGCCCCTCGCCCCTGCCCCTGGCAGCCATCATTCTACTTTCTGTTTCTATGAATTTGACTATTTTAGGTATCTCAAATTAGTGGAATTCTACAGTTATTTGTCTCTCAGTGGTTGGCTTATTTCACTTAGCATGAGGCCCTGTCCTCTAGGTTTATTCATGTTGTCCAAAAGAGTTGAAATCAGAACCTCAAATGTGTATCTGCAAGTTCACTGCAACATAACTCACAACAGTCAAGATATGGAAATAATTAAATGTACATTGACAGATGAATGGGTTAAAAAAGTATGGCATATACATACAATGGAATGTTATTCAGCCCCAGAAAATGAAGGGAATCCTACTATATGAAGAATGGGATTTTAATAGATGGGGTAGCGATCCAGACTGGAGTGCTTTTGATAGTAAAAGTAAGCATTGTTGATTGTTATTCCAGGATAATAGGTATAAATCCTGGCTATTTCATGCAAATTGGGACATATTGTATTTTAGTAGAATGAGTCTTAAAGCAACCATGAGCAGAGAACCCTGAATGTTGTAAAGGGAGAGTTCATTATGTATGCAGTGAATGAAAAAGTCCAAGTTGGTTGAAGCACAGGAGATGAATAGGGGGAGAAAAACTAGAAAGGTAGTCTGGGGCTTGAACTAGGATTGGAATTGTATTTTCTTAAACATAAAGCTAAGACATTTGGAAATTATTAAACAAGCAGTGGAGAAGCATTGCAGTTTTTAAAATGATAAAGTGACTTTGTTTGCTCTCAGTGATGTCAGTGATGTGCAGAATGAATTGGATCAGGCAGAGACTACATGCAGGAGCACAATAAAGGGACCACAGCAGCAGTTAGAAGAGAGAATGAGAGAATGTGGACTGAATCCAGGCAACAGGAATAGAAAGGAAGGCGTGGATGAAAGACACATCAGAAAGAAGGAGTCAAGAGAACTTATTAATTGAATATAAAAAAAAGATCAGCTAAGAAAAAGAGAAAGTCAAAGGCAATGCCCAAGAGTTTAAGCTGAGGTGACTATAGGCATTCTATACTTGTAGGTTAGAATTAGGAAGGAAAGGGAGGTCTACAAATGAGTATAGAACTGGGATCCTATTCTTAACTGTAATTTGGAAAAATACATATAAGATAACAATGGTGCATCTGTAGTTTAACTTTTGAAAATTCTTTTATGCCAGGAGTATTTTGAATAACTCTGAGTGTGAACAACTTGTTTTTGAAAAAACTTGACTTTGATTTAGAAGGAGGGTAAGGGAGATGGTTGAGGTATATTTCTCTATAAACTATTTTTTCTATCTTCTTTCTAGGATCCAGTGGGATGTAATCCATTTTTAGATTAGTACACTGGTCCTTAGTTTATACTTACTGTAAAAGTGAATCCAACTGAGGAAAATGTACAGCTATGACAGACCTCTAACTAGAATATGATTCAGAATGATTTTAAACCATGAGCTTGTATCACCCAGTTACCTCAATACCTATCTTAAGAGTCTTCAAAATTATCTGAACTAAGTACTTGGTTTTTTACAAAAAAAAACCCTCATTTTTCACAGAACATTGGGTTTGTAAAGATGCCTTGAAATCAAAGAAAGAAACAATGATGACACTTTATAACTTCTGAAATTCGAATTAAGCTTCTGCTGTGTTGCTGACTCCCAAAAATGGTGCCCAAGCAATATTTTATATGTTATATATTCAATTTTCCAATAATTTTCTAAGCAGGGCCTTTTTTCCAGCAGGGAATATGGAGAGAAATAAGAAGTGGAAAGAAATAGATGTCTCTCTCTCACACACACACACCCCTAATTTTAAAAGAAAAAAAAATTTAAAGAACAAAGGGAATAAAATCTCTAGAGGAACAAATTCAGAAATAAGAATTTTTAATTTAGAAAAACTTTCCTACTTTTTGAAACTCTTGAATTCTTCAAACTGTTCTACTTTATTCAGTGTTCTTCCATGTTTACATACTATGACATTAACAAGTCTGGCCATGGTGTGTGGTATGGTCTGCTGTTTCTCTGAGGCAGTGGTCCAGAAAAGGAAAGTAGATTTGAATACATTATCTTGCCTGGTCCCAGAATAGAATCCCCAGACACCTCAGGGTGTGAATTACTGAGAAATGTTATCCCTCTCTGGTGAGAGACTAGACTGCTAGGAGAGTGGATAGAGTGGTTGTGTGCGTGCACAGTAGCCCCTGGTGCTGTGACATGTTCTTGGTACAAAAAAGAAAGAGAAATTGTAGTATAAACCCCCCTGTTGTTGTTGTTATAAAACCCCCTATAGATCAAAACTCTGATTGATGCCATTCATCAGGACCAGTGGCCAAGCACTGTGGGTTTTATTTCTTAGAAATTTCCTTTTGGGCTCTGCTTCTTTCCTTGTGCCTTATTTTTTTTTTAATTGGTAAGTTTCTTTTACTCATCTTTCTAGTATGTTTACCTCTTCCTGTGCTGACTACATAATATAAATAGAAAACATTATAATGCTATATAATAGTCATTATAAACATGCATCTTAATGTATATTATCTATGATGTAACCATGTAGATACAAACATATCATACGTATGATATTACAGGACACATGCCAACCTGGCTGGTGCTTCTGATTCTCTCCTTGGTAGTTATGATTACACACAAGGGCTTTGACAACTTCAAGATTTCTAATGAAAGCTTCTCAGTGTTCTAGTTTTCTCTTCCTTCCTTCTTTGCCTGCAGGCATGCCTTCTTAGGTGTCCTACAATGTAGCAACTGCCCTGAGAGGATGAGAACCGATCTTGAGTAGAATGTGTCAAAATGCAAATAAACCAGATCCTTTCCTCACCCTCTAGCAGGTTTTGCCTTCAATGATTGTTTAACGAAGAAATCTAGATTATCTTTTTTTCTCTCTCTCTTTTTATTATTCTCATAGTTCTTCAGTCCCAGTGAAATGTCAGATTCCTGAGTTGAAATTGGATTTAAACAAGTAATGGTTTGTTTCTGAATTGACCATGATTAGCTTTCTCTATGATGGATCCATTTCCTGTTGTGAGGTGGAGTAATAAGGATGTGTGTGGAGTTTTCAGTATGGCTAATGGGAGTCTTTCTAGAAAGTTGTAATCATATTAGAATAGCGACTAAGTGAAAAAGATTGGGCATAGGAGACTTAGATGTTTGCCTGCCTCTGCAACTATTTTCTCATGGACCTTATATAAGGCAACTTACCTCACCACCCTGAAAAACCCAAAGTTAGGAAACTCACAAACTTATGCAAGTGAAAGCAGGAAAAGTATAACTGGGCTTTATCAATATATAAGATATTACTGTGTCTGTTACTGTACAATTATTATTCATTATTATTGCTACTACCACCACTAAAAATAGAATGTAACTTCAGCCTGTCTGTGCTAAAAGATTGGAACATATCCATCTAACCCCTAGAACAAGAAGTTTTTGCTATGAAAATTCTCATGTGCATCTTTTAAGCCTGTCAAATACATTGATCTTTCTCTTTTCTAATAGATTCCTCCTTAAGTTTCAACAATGATTGTAGTTTTTCTTACTTTTAAGAGAAGTTTTGACCTTATAGACCCATTACAAGCTGAACAAAATTTAATACTGGAAATAGGAAATACTTTAGATGAAAACCTGAGTTTCCTTACTGGATACTGGTTTGACTTGTGATCCTTAGAAAATTACCATGTCTCTTTGAGCCAAATTTTCTCTAAATCTCATTTCACAATATCCAGCTTACAGAATAGCTGGAAAATTACAGTTTAGAGCACTTCATTTCGTAATGCATTATAGACATTGTTGTTTGAATAGTTGCAACTCTGTTCCTCATAGAAAGCTTATGTAGTCAGTCCTTTATTTAATCAGAGTACCCTTTATATGTGCACGTAGAAAGATAATGGAGAGAGAGAGGAGTGGAAATGGCTATTTTTTTTATTATGTCATGTACTGGGAAGCATGAAGGAGAAAATTAGAAAATCAAATAGCTTAAATTATAATTTCAAATAAAAGAATTTTTGATGTTAGTGTACTCTAACTTCTAAAAAATTTTACAAATAAAGAATCAAGAGAATAAATGCTAACAGCTTTGGAGGAACTTCTTTAATCACAGAGGCATAACCACTCTCTGCTGTTTAAGTCTTTGATTGCAGAAATACATCTGATCTACCTTTTAGAACTATTAAGTATAAAACGGCATATCACTGTTATTATCTTTTGTGTGTTCAGTTACTCAGTTGTGTCTGACTCTTTGCAATCCCATGGACTGTAGTCTGCCAGGCTCCTCTGTCCATGGGACTTTTCAGGCAAGAGTAATGGAGTGGGTTGCCATTTCCTTCTCCAGGGAATATTCCCAACCCAGGGATCAAACCCAGGTAACCTGCATCGCAGGCAGATTCTTTACTGTCTAAGCCACCAGGAAAGCCCAATTATTTTTTTATGTCTTCCTAGGTATATTTTTGCAGTAAACATTAGTCATTTTGTATCCCTTTTAATTCTTCCCCCGCCCCCTGCCCACCTTCTAATACCATCACCTTGGGGATTAGGTTTCAACACAAGGACTTGGGGGAGACACGTTTAGTCCATAAGAGGGAGGAAAATGGATGCTATGTGAGTCTTCTCAGAATCCTTTTAATTCATTGTTCCTCTTCGTCTTTAGGAGTTGTACAGATGTGCTGTGCTGCGTGATCTTCATACTGTTCATTATGGCCTACATTCTTTTAGGACTTGCAGGTGAGTAAGAACAGGTATAGAAGATATTTAACTTTTACTATTTACATGACTAAGTCAATGGCACATTTTTAACATTAATCATTCCAAAATCCTTCTTATTATTGATTATTATCTTTTCTTGTGGGAGTATACCTCACCAGAACTCATTGGGTAGGAGATGCAATGAAAAATAAACACAAAGCAGTTTATTCAAAGGCAAGTCTCTAAATTACTTAGATAAAATTATACAAAAGAAAGAAAAACCCTTATAGTTGCTTTTTAATCATTTTTACTTTTGAAATTTTATTAAGCAGCTAATTAGATTCACAATATTATTTACTCATTAGAGTTAGGGACTCTTGATAAAAGTGAAAAAGGAGAGTGAGAAAGCTGGTTTAAAACTCAACATTCAGAAAACTAATATCATGGCATCCAGTCCCATCACTTCATGGCAAATAGATAGGGAAACAATGAAAACAGTGACAGACTTTATTTTCTTGGGCTCCTAAATCACTGCAGATGGTGACTGCAGCCATGAAATTAAAAGATGCTTGCTCCTTGGAAGAAAAGCTATGACCGACCTAGACTGAATATGAAAAAGCAGAGACATTACTTTGCTGACAAAGGTCCATCAAGTCAAAGCTATGGTTTTTCCAGTAATAATGTATGGATATAAGACCTGGACTATAAAGAAAGCTGAACACCAAAGAATTAATGCTTTTGAAATGTGGTGTTGGAGAAGACTCTTAAGAGTCCCTTGGACAGCAAGGAGATCCAACCAGTCAATCCTAAAGGAAATCAGTCCTGAATATCCACTGGAAGGACTGATGTTGAAGCTGAAATTCCAATACTTTGGCCACCTGATGTGAAGAGCTGACTCGTTTGAAAAGAAAAGACCCTGATGCTGGGAAAGATTGAAGGCAGGAGGAGAAGGGATGACAGAAGATGAGATGGTTGGATGGCATCACCGACTCGATGGACATGAGTTTGAATAAGCTCTGGGAGTTGGAGATGGACAGGGAGGCCTGGTGTGCTGCAGTCCATGGGGTCACAAAGAGTCAGACACAACTGAGCAACTGAACTGAATAAGGTTCATGTTACTGTTTACCAATTAGAATTAGAACCTAGGTAAGTCTAAGTAACATATTACCTTTTCTTTTTATAAGCAAATTATAAAGAAGGAACAATTATTAAGTATTTCACCAAATAGTTTCTTGACATATAAGAAGTCCTATTGTCTTTGCCTACCAGAAAAAGATAGCCTGTTGTTAGATTAAAGATTTTTCTATGGAAGTGAAAATAAAGAGGACAAATAAAGTCTTTGTTTAGGTGTGTGTGTTTTTTTTAAGTAAAAAAAACTACCAAAAGGGATCAATCAGTATGGCAGAATAAGAGGACATGAAGCTCACCTCCCCCAACACATCAAAATATATGTACATGTGGGACAATTTTCACTGGAAACTGGTAGAAAGACTCCAAGGCTGTTAAGATACACACATAATTGGGTAGGAAGGGGGAAAAAAAGGCAATCAGGGCAGGTCGTGTGCTCCTGGGAGTGGACCTCAGAGGACAAGAAAGATCACACAGGTGGACACTCCTGTGAAATAAGCAATGAGGACCACAGATTGAGCACCCCTGTCCTGGGTTTCTATACAGAGGAGACAAGCCCTCTTTGCTGGTTGCAGGACTGCTGGGGTAACTGGATGGCTGTGGGAAGCCTGGACTACAGCTGTGAGGCGCACTCATGCTAGCTTGCCCCTGAGGCAGGGTGGAGAGAGAGATGCTCCAGTGGCTACTGGCTTTCCCATAACTTCCTTAGCATGCGCACAAGCTGAGCAAAGGCTTTGGTCCTTCTCATTCCACATCACAATGTATCATCGGATCTGGAGCAGCAATGAGTGGGTAGAAGACTCGACTGTTGTGTGCAAAGATGACCTCACCCTGGGCATACCCTGGGTGAGAGGGGGCAGCCACTACTGAACTTACTCAAGCAATACATCTCAAATAGCTCTCAGGTCTCAGACCGCAGCGGCTCCACCGCAACTTATCCTCATTCTTGTGCCAAGTGTCCATGTAGCCCAGTGATGTGGTTCAACAAAAGGGTGGGAATGGTGGAGGCTGAGGACAGTGACGTGCTGTGAGGGACAAAGGGGGACTTGCACATCAGGCTGTGTCTGAGCGGAGAAAAGGAAACAGTTGCAGGTGCCTTCACAGGCATTGTGTCAGAGCTAGCTGGGACCTCCGTCTGCAGACAGTGTGAGCAGAGAGCCCTCACAAGCCCCACTTACCTCAGCACTTCCCCACTCTAGGCCAAAGGTCCCAGTGCAGATAGAGGGGAAGACAGACCGAAAGGGAACAGGACCAGCTTGGGCTCAAGCCTCAGGGCGTCAGCTCCAGCAGCTTGGGCTCAGACCCCACCCCTGATTGGACACTGATAGCCACTCAGCAGAGAGAAAGTCCTGCCTCACCCTGGGCTCCAGCTCTAACCCCTCCATCTCTAGTTCCATGGCTGCAGTCACTGTCCATAGTGATTTTGGAGCCCAAGAAAATAAAATCTATCACTGCTTCCACTTTTTCCCCTTTTATTTGCTATGGAGCAATGGGACTGGATCTTAGTTTTTTGAATGTTGAGTTTCAAGCCAGCTTTTTCAGTCTCCTCTTTCACCCTCATCAAGAGGCTCTTTAGTTTCTCTTCATTTTCTGCCATTAGAGTGGTATCATCTGCATATGTGAGCTTATAGATTATTTCTCCTGGAAATCTTTATTCCAGCTTGTGATTCATCCAGCCCAGCATTTTGCTTGATGTACTCTGTATGTAAGTTAAATAAGCAGGGTGACAATAGACAGCCTTGTTGTACTCCTTTCCCAATTTTGAACCAGTCCATTGTTCCACGTCTAGTTCTAACTGTTGCTTCATGACCCACATACATGCTTCTTAGGGGACAGGTAAGGTGGTCTGGTATTCCTGTCTCTTTAAGAATGTTCCACAGTTTGTTGTGACCCACAGAGCCTAAGTGTTTAGTGTAGTCAATGAAGAAGAAATGCATGTTTTTCTGGAATTCCCTTGCTTTCTGTAGTACCCAGTGAATGTTAACAATTTGATCTCTGGTTGTTCTGCCTTTTCTAAACCCATCTGGAAGTTGTCTGGAGAATCTGGAAGTTCTTGTTCACGAACTGTTGAAACCTAGCTTGAAGGATTTTGAGCATAACTTTACTAGCATGTGAAATGAGCATAAATGTAAGATAGTTTGAACATTCTTTGGCATTACCCTTCTTTGAAATTGGGATGAAAACTGACCTTTTCCAGTCTTGTGGCCACTGCTGAGTTTTCCAAATTTGCTGACATATTGAGTGCAACACTTTAACAGCATCATCTTATAGGATTTGAAATAGTTCAGCTGGAATTCTACTACCTCCACTAGCTTTGTTTCTAGTAATGCTTCCCAAGGCTCACTTGACTTCACACTCCAGGGTGTCTGCCTCTAGATGAGTGACTACACCATCACGGTTATCTGGATCACTGAGGCCTTTCTTGTATAGTTCTTCTATGTATTCTTGACACCACTTCTTAATCTCTTCTGCCTCTGTTAGGTCCTTACCGTTTCTGTCCTTTATCATGCCCATCCTTGCATGAAATGTATCCTTAATATCTCCAATTTTCCTGAAAGATCTCTACCTTTCCCATTCTATTGTTTTCTCTTATTTCTTTGCATTGTTGGCTTAAGAGGGCCTTCATATTGCTCTTTGTTATTCTCTGGAATTCTGCATGTAGTTGGGTATATCGTTCCCTTTCTCCCTTGCTTTTCACTTCTCTTCTTTCCTCAGCTATTTGTAAAGCCCTCTCAGACACCACTTTGCCTTCTTGCATTTCTTTATCTTTGGGATGATTTTGGTCTCCACCTCCTGTACAATGTTATAAACCTCTGTCCATAGTTCTTCAGGCACTCTGTCTATTGGATCTAATCCCTTGAATCTATTTGTCACTACCACTGTATAATCATAAGGGATTTTATTTAGATCATACCTGAATTTCCTAGTGTTTTTCCGTACTTGACTTTCTACTTTTACATTCCAGTCTCCTATGATGAAAAGGACAGCTTTTTTTTGGTGTCAGTTCTAGAAGGTCTTGTAGGTTCATAGAACTGGTCAATCAACTTCAGGTTCTTCAGCATCAGTGGTTGGGACATAGACTTGGATTACTGTGATCTTAAATGGTTTGCCTTAGAATGAACTGAGATCATTATGTCACTTTTGAGATTGCACCCAAGTATTGCATTTTGGACTCTTTTGTAGAGGGTCCCAAACATGATGAACCTAAAATAGACCCACACCAAGACATATCATAATTCAAATGACAGAAGTCAAAAGTAAGAGAGAATGTTAAAGGCAGCAAGAAAAAACAGAGAGTCATATGCAAGGGAATTCTTATAGGCTGTCAGCTGATTTCTCCACAGAAACTTTTCAGACCAGAAGGAAGTGGCATGATATGTACAGAATGCTAAAGGGAAAATCCTGCAATGTAAAATACTCTAACCAGCAAGATTATCATTTTTAAAAAAGAAATGTTAAAGGCTCTTCTCTAGTGGAAAAGAAGTAAGAATCTTAAAGAGAAAATCTCCCTGGGAAAGGTAAATATATAATAAAGACTGATGACCAACCACTTACATAAGCCAACAGGACGTCTAAAAGACAGGCAATTCTAAAGCGACTATAACTATTATAAACAGTTAAGAGATAAATTTGGCCTTGGAGAACAAAATGAAGCAGGGCAAAGACTAATAGGTTTTTGCCAAGAAAACACACTGGTCACAGCAAAGACCCTCTTCCAACAACACAAGAGAAGACTCTACACATGGACATCACCAGATAGTCAACAATGAAATCAGATTGACTATATTCTTTGCTGCCAAAGATGGAGAATCTCTATACAGTCAGCAAAAACAAGACCCAGAGCTGACTGTGGCTCAGATCATGAACTCCTTATTGTTAAATTCAGACATAAATTGAAGAAAGTAGGGAAA